GTTTACGTTTACCGTTACTTCCGTATTAACTTTACGTTTACTTTCGTTCGTTCGTCTCGTTCGTGTGTACTATATATATATATAGTATATATATATATATATATATATATATATATATATATATATATATATATATTATATTTTTTTTATCATTATCCCAGGACTGGTTGTAAAATGTTCCATTTAACATTGTCAGTTGGCTCAGCTCTTAGGTACTATAACTTTATTTTAGTAGCTTATAAACTTTTATTGTCGTAATTCACATTTGTGCCATTTTTCATCTGACATTTCTAGTCGCTGATCGAAATCAGGAGCATCCTTGCAAAAGGAGACAAAGTGGAGACCTTAGATCTGGAACGGGGCTAACTCGACTTCTCTAGATCTTAGCTTGGGTAGACAGGAAAGTTAACAATCTGAGAAAAAAATAACCACATGAAGAGTCTGGGGGATGACGAAGTGCTATTTAATGCTGACAGTGAGCCCTAGTTACACACTTTAACAGTCACCCACTAGTGAGTAATGAGTGTTGGACTACTGAGGTAACAGAGCTCTCACAAAATACCTGGCACTGTTTGGAGTTCCCCCAGATATCTCTTGCTCAGCTAGATTTATTTGTTCATTTCAAAATCGTTTGTTAAGAAATTTTCAGGTACCAGGAAATGGGCCTTCCAAGGTGCTTACGAAGAGGAGCTCAGAGGTTAGTAAGGGAGACATGCAGACAGGTGCGTGCATACTTCGTTTTATTGCTCTTCACAGAGACTCCGTTTTTTACAAACTGGAGGTTTGTGGCAACCCTCGTCAAGCAAGTCTACTGGTGCCATTTTTTCCAACAGGATTATTTTGTAATTAAGGTATGTATATAATTTTTTTTTTAGACATAACACTACTGTGCACTTAATATACTACAGTGTAGTAGAAACATAACTTTAAGAGGCACTGGGAAACCAAAAAATTCATGTGACTTGAATATGACTTTAATGCTTTATTTGCTTTATGAAGCTGCAGTGTCTCTGGGGTGGGCCTGTAACTACTCTTGAGCATTAAACTTTATAGGTGCTCAATAAAATGTTTCTATTTATCTTAAATCATCACGGTGATCTTAGAGATAAAAGGATTGTAGAATTATCTAAACCAGCTCTTGTATTTTCTTGACTGAAGAGTGAAGGCACAGAGAGATAAAGGGACACACTGCTCAGGAGAACCCTCACTTCTTACTTTTACAACTGCATGCCCACGGCCCCATGTGGGTTCCAAAGGGACCAGTGCTTTTATGACTTTCCTTAACATCTTCTCAACTGTTTAAAAGATGTCTCGATAGCAGTCTTTGAAATAGCTTACCCCCCCAAACTTCCAGAACACCTGGTGACATTTCCACCTAAATCCTGGAAATTGATGTTCAACCTCATGTGAGACTCTTGAAGTCATTTAAATTTAAGTCAACTAAACTTAAGGCTTTGAAACATGGTTGAGAAATATACACGGTGACCCACACAGGCCGTAATACCACAAACACAC